AAGAATCAGGCTTCTTTTTCTTTCTCTTCATTTTTCAGATAATCCAATATTTGACCGTCTTTTCCAAAGGATTGCTTATACATAACTGTAGTTATACACTTCAGTTTTAAGATTCAAACTAGATTTTAGAGCACATTAATAGCACTTCGTTTGTGAGAAAGTTTCAAGCACAGCGTTATTATTACCTGTGTGAAAACTTGAAAAAAAAAGTACTATTTGTTATTAGTTTGAATCAGTAAAACTTTTAAATCATTGTGTTTTAACAAGCACATTCTTATTTGCAACAAAGACCATTAATATCCTCCTAAGACTCTTGTTACAGGTGGCGATGAGTTACTGTGACTGGAAAGTGACGTGTTAGGAAGACTCCCCCCTCCACAGTGAACACTCAGGTCTGTGGGCATTCGCACGTACAGAACTTAACGTGCAGAGAGAAACCCAGGGCGGCTATGCCGCTCTGAGAACAGGAACAAACAAAGGGTGAGCATTCTGGAAATGACTAGACTCCAGAATTTCCAGATAAACAATCAGTGTTTTAAAACTGTAAATAAATCAAGAGCAGTTTCCAGGCTTGTGGTCTATAACTTCTAATACAGACTTATTAAGCAGGTATGACTTTGCCTAAATGACTAAATCTAAACGAATATTAAATTTTCGTTTTCCTCATTTTAAATTTTCAGTCTCTCTAGTACACAGTGGGGGAGGCGGGGGAAGGGGTGAGCAGAGAGAAGGAAGGAGGGAGGGGTGTGGGGGTCATGGTGTGTAACATACCTTTTGGGAGTGGGACACAATATAAGAGGGACTTTACCTAACAAATGCAATCAGTGTAACTTGTCTTTCTACCCTCAATAAATCCCCAACAATAAAAAATAAATTAAGTCTCTCCTCAAGTCCTAAAGTTGCGACCCATTGTTGCTATGGGAAGGGGGCTCTGCCCCCCACACCTTGTGTTGGCAGCTGTCTCTGCCACACTACACAGTATCCACGTGCCTCCCTTCCTGGTGTCCCCATCTCTCTCTTGATTTTCAAGATCCAACATTTTTTTTTTTTTCTGAAGCCACCTTTCTCTTGTCCCCGAGGCAACAGTGACTCCTTCCATCTATGGGAAAATTTTCAGCTATCTTCCCCATGGTATTATTAACATGTTATTGAATT